TGTTAACATGACTCTGTTCCCTGCTTCAGGTAGCACTCGTTTTCAGGGCCCCTTGAGCAAATTGCAGAAAGGGGGGAAAATCCATGTGCCTGGATTTTGATGATGCACTTTAGTATCGTAATAACAATTCATTTAGGCTCTGGCTTTGTACTGCCTGTTATTTCCCTAGAAACTTATGATTCATCCTGGCAAATATATGAAATAGCAGTGTCACAGCCTCTGTCAGACTGAAGGGAGGGCTGCAGATGAGCAGGCAGAAGCCAGATAAGAGTAATGTAGAGCTGTAGCTGCTTGACATTACTGACTTTTAAGGGGTCCAAAAAAAGGTATGATTCCTCTTCCATAGGGGAAGAGAACAAGATGTTTCTGTAGTAACAAGATCATAAAAGAAAGAAAATTGCTTGTAAAGAATATGTCTGATTTTCCCTCCTTTTCTACTTAGCTTCTATTATAACTTAAGCTTCAGTTTTGCTTTCAACTGTCTCTTGTGTAAGCATTTAATAGAACCAAGATATTCTGCAAATCTATTTTTTTTTGACAGTGATTTCTGGCCTACGCATTTTGTTTTGTAATAACCACAGTTTCCTGTGTCAAAAGAATGGAAATTATCTGAAATAAAAGGACAGTAGTGTTCTGTGGTCCTATGTGAACTTGTCACTTCAGGTCTGCTGTGCCAGTTCAAAGCATTGAGGTTGGCATGGGATGAGAAGATGATGGTGTTTCTTTCAGCATGCTGGGAGTAGATGGGTAGAAACACTTTTTTTTTTTTTAGTAGGCTTGGAACTAAGAGCTGAAAAGAGCCTTTTGTTTTTTGCTGCAGATTCAGGAGCGTGATAAACTTTACTACTTGGTAGCCTGGGAACTTGATTTTGTGTGTTGATTACAGAAGTGCAAACTTCTCTCTTTCTCTCACTTCTCCCCCTGCCTCCCCCTCCACCCGATGGTATGATGAGCCTTTGAGAAATAAATGGGAATTGCGTGCTCTGTGCATTGCAAAATTTCTGTAGTTTCTAGACTTTTGTTCTTTTGCTCTGTAAAAGGAAATTTATTGCTTTATACTGGTGAGGGACAGGGGAGAATTTTCGAAACCTTGCTGTTGGGCTTGTCCTGCCTTTTTAAAAAGACACTGTTCCCTGCCCTTCTCCCAAAGGTACTTAGATACCAATTTTCTTGCCATCACTAAATTGCAAGGGCAGCATGAAGTGTAAGCTTTGACCTCAAAGGTGCTATTTCTTGTTTAAAAAAAGAATCCCAGCATCTGTCAGAAACCTGTAAGGCCCAAAAGAGACAATGCTTATTGCAAGTTACTAATAAAAGATGCATCTACTAAGAGACTTGTTTTACCCCTATATATTTTGTCTTATAATTTGTGCTTCTACATAGCAATTCAGAAAAAAAATGCAATAATTAATTCTGGCTGTTCCACGTGATGATATTGCTTTATTGGACTGAGATAGTAGCTGCAGGTTTTTCGAGCAGGGTCACATTGAAACTTTTTTAAAAGCTGTCCTGCAGGATAAAATGGATAAGAGAGTCAGGAAGGTGTTGTTGTGAGTGTTCTATAACCCAGATCATGATAGGGTTTAAAGGTGTATCAGTTTTTTTCCATCCAGTAGAGAATCTCAATTCATTGGAGTTTGTAACACTGTGATGGAATCAGGTGAACACTGAGTGGAGCAGATTGCTACTAAACTGCACTGTGTTGTTGGATATTCCCACTGTTTTGGCTGAGATCCTCAGATGCTCAGGCTTGCTGCATCCCTGCAGCTCACTGGGAGCACACGGTGAGAGTGGCAGTCACAGCAAAGGTGGGGACAGGAGGGAAAGAGCAAATGCAAGGTTCTGAAATGCCACCCAGCTAGCAGGGAGCAGTGGGAGTGGGAGGATGCTCAAGGGCTGATGGCCATAATGCAGTGCTGTAGGTCTGCTGGAGGGAATTGCTCATCTTCCCAGCCCTGGAGCTTGCAGCTGCTCAGCTGCTCCTCCCTGCACTGACCCTGCTGCTGGGGGAGCAGCATCCCAATGCTTAGCAGGGCTTCTGGCTGCCACTGCTCACTTCTGGGGACTTCTCATGCTGAGCACTGGCAGTATGAATGAGTATTTGGACTCTGTTCTTGTTTGTAAGCAGTAACTGAAGCATTGGATAGAGAGTTTATTTTCATCAGTTGTTTTCTTAAAGCTCAGTTTCTCTATGTATGAACATCTGCTCTTCAGATACCAACAGATTAATCACTGTATTTATAGTTAAATAAAATATTACAGAGGCACATTTTTCAGCTCTGGAAATGTCAGGTTGGCCAGCTAGGCAGAAAAGGTTGGAAGTCACAAAATGACATACATTTGGTTGTCATCTGACTAGGCTGAGGGCACTCTACAATGGCTTGGTTGTGTACTGCAGTACTGGGTGACAGCCATCTAGCTGGTACCTGCCTTTTCTTGGGCTTTGTGAAATGCATTCTTGAATCTGGGAAGGAACCAGAAGGAGTAAAGGGTATCTTGAAGTTTCCTGTGGAGAACTCTAGAAGCACAGTTGCTAATGCTAACTTTTTCCAGGTATTTTTTTTCCTTAGTCTTACATAAGATACCAGAAAAATAGAATTTTGTTGTCATGTTAAATTCAAGGGGTGGAGGTGGTGATGGGGAAACAACAAAGCTTTTGATCTTTCTTTAGTAAATAGGAGACTGGTTGCAGAATGTAAATGTTTGTCTTAGATGATGCTGTAAGCAGTACATTTCTTTTTCTCTTTTCACAAATAAGGACAATACCAAGTTAGTCATCAAGATACACATAATTTCTAGGATGATTCTTGTCCTGAATTAAGTTGTTCATTTTGGAGATAAGCAGCAGTGTAACAGTTGTCTTGTTTTTCCACAGACTGTATGACTGATATAATACCACAGGGCAGCTTGAGGGAGTCCTAGAACACAGAATTAAAACCTTCTCTGATCTGTAGAAGGCTGAGTAAAGCATTCAGTAGCATTTCCTAAGTAGACAAGTACCATTCTCTTAGATCTCTTTGGTATTTTTTAAGTAGACAATTACCCCTAAAGTAATTCTACTTTAAAATATTGATGGTGGATGAAGAGTTCAGCTAAAAGAGCATGTATTACTCAAACCAGCATACTGTTTTCTTAGGATGGATTATGATGAATTAATTATATTTTAACATTTGAAATTAGGAAAAGGTTAAATACTCAGAATATTAATGGTAGCTTGGGGATGGGAACAGCTCAGTGCTGAAAATAGCTTATGAAAGAAATTAATTTCAAGTATCTTCCTCTATGTTATTCTTTTTTTCCTCTTTTGGTGTGTTCTTTGTTTTTGAAGGGAAGCTGCTTTGCTGCCACTGCAAAATGAGTTTTTAGTACTCAAGTGCATTTTTTTTCCCCCCCAAATAAGTATAAACTGATTTTTTTCTTAGAGACAGAAGAAGCAGCATACAGACTGTAGAGAGTGACATAAAATTCTGGAAAGGCCAGGTGCTAGTTAGTACCTTAATTTTAGGAAGATGTGGTATTTGTATTCAAGGCTGGTGAGTGCCAGTGCAGGGCCTGCTGATGGCAGTGGAAAAGCTGCTCACCTGCTGGGCTTTGGATTACCCTTGAGGAGCTTATCATTCCCACACCTCCCTTGGAGGGTGATGGCTCCTTCCTCTGCTCTTACTTCACTGTCCAAACATGTCACACCTGGTTGAGCCATGTGCCTTAAAGGATATCTTGGTGGTGAGTGCAGCAATTGCCACGTGTGCAGGAAGGAGAAGCTGCTGCTTTGTGGCAGCTCCTGTTTGGCTGGAGTCCCACTGGCCCCAGCTGCCTGGCTGGAGCCACTTCTTGTTAGAACCAGCATCTTTGGCAAAAGGGTGCTCAGAGGTGAAGCTTTTTTGCCATGGTCTTAGTGATGATGGTTAGGGGTTTGCATTAAATTAAGGTGGGTTTGTGCAGGAGCTGGTGGTGTTCTGGGAAGCATTGTGTGGTTGCCATTGCCTCCTGTGAGCAGTGCTGGGCATGGCAGGCACCTTTGTGCCCCTCCACAAGCTGCTCCTGACATGTCTGAAGGGAGCAGATGAGGGTTTCCTGTAAATACATGTGCTGGAAACATCTGCCCCGCACATTGAATTAAAGGATTTTTCTTGATGTGCTGTCTGACCCCGTATGCTGAGGAACTTGAGTGCTCTGTTTTCCTCATGACTTCCCCCATCTTTTTCTTAAGCTGTCTTTTCAGCACATCCTTCTGAAGCTGGGGCTGTGGGGACGGGCTGGACCTGGCTTCCCGCATCTGTCCCAGCAGCTGGACCACTTCCTGCCATGAATCATCCCAAACACACTTTTTTTCTTTTTATTGTTTTATTTAAGGGTGAAGGCACATTTGTTTCCTGAAGCCACAGGCTAATCTAAGGAGTCTGGCAGACAAGCCTCAAATGAAGGCTGGGGTGCGAACGTGTTTGGAGGAAGGAAGTGCCTCCCTTCACTGGGATCATGGGCAAGGCAGGAGCAGAGCTCTGTCCTTGTGGACTTCATTTGTGGTCAGAGGAACAGCAAACTCCATCCCTTCTTGGAGAGCTGCAGCAAAAACATCAGTGTCAAACACATCATGACCTCTGGTTTTTGGCTGCAGCTAATCAAGTGCTAATTGGCAAGTGATTCTAAGGGAGAGGGGCATAATCTTTTGTCTGAGAAGTCTTGGCTATGGCTTGGATCCTCTGTGGGACTGATGTTTGTGGCTTAGTTTTCCAGAGTTCATTGATTGCATGTGTTTCAGTTTTAGCAGTCCAAAACAAAACAAGGCTTTTTTTTTTTTTTTTTTTTTTTTGTTCTGAGGAGTTCAGGCTGAATAGTTCCTGAAACTTGAGAGGTCATTGTATTTCACAAAGAGACGAAATCCAAAATCTGCCTCCTTAATTTTGTCTTAAAAAAATCACCCCAACACTAAAAGACCCCAGCCTAAAACCACATTAACAGCATAGTTGTTAAGCTGTTGTTTTCCTTGTTAATTTTCCTAGGGAAGCGTCAGATTCACCACTTGGGAAACCAGCTCCAACTCAACCAGCATTGTCTGGATACTGCCTTTAATTTTTTCAAGATGGCTGTGAGCAAACATCTGACACGGGGCAGAAAGAGGACCCACGTCATCGCTGCCTGCCTCTACCTGGTGTGCAGGACAGAGGGAACTCCTCGTATCCTTTCACAGTTAGAAAATACCAATAAACAGAAGACTCACTTTTAGCAAGTCATCTATCCCAGTCAGACCTTGGTTCAAAATGTGAAAAGGTAAGTGTTCAAGAGCTGGCTTGGTCATGGCTGGGTTTATACATGGAAGTGAATGGGAGTGTTTCCCATGGTTCAGGTAAATTTGTTCCCTGTCTAAATGTACAATACTTAGTATTTAATGCTATAAATGTCACTCTGCCTCTCATCACTAACTCTGAATTTCTCCTTTTACAACATTTGCTTCAAGTATAAAATTGCACTTCCCCTGTGCATTGTTAGGGTTTATTATTTGTGGAGTATTTTTTTTTGTTTATTTTTTTTTCTCTTTTAAAGTAAATGACAGTTATCCCCAAACCTTCTGCAGTGTCAGCATCAAAGAACAGATTAGAATTCCAGTGGGTTTTTCATCAACATATTTGGATTTCCTTCTTCTGATACTTGCAGGAAGGACAGTATCACTCCTCTTTTAGTTCTTGAAAAAAAAAAAGTTTCATAAATTCTGAAATTTGCTCAAAAATCATACAGGAAATCAGTGGCTGGAGGTGCACACAGGACAGATTTCCAAGTGAGTATTTCCTGCTTTACCATCCCTATTTTTGTCTTAGGGAACTTAACTAAAATCCACATAAGCTTTAAATACTCATGACCATCCAAATTAATTTTTGTTATATATTTTAATTTCTTTTATGTTGTGTTTTAGTTGCTGGAATTCAGAGTTTAGTATCAAACAATTACTTCTGTTGCTCTGGCTCTGAGCAACCTGGTCTAGTGAAAGGTGTCCCTGCCTATGCAGGGGTATTGGGACTGGATGTATTTTAAGGCCTCTTCCAAGCCCCAAACCATTCTATCATTTTATCATTCTACAATTCTGTCTTTAGTTTTTTTCTACTTTAAAATAGTATGTTCACATCTTCAGTATTCTGATTTGATGCTTTTTCTAGATTGCTGCTCTCGTTCTATATTTTTGCACTTGAACAGTTTAGCTTTCCTTTTAAGACTGAGATTTTTTTTTTGTCATTTCAGAAAATATATTCAGTATTCTAAAAGTAGTACTTTCTGATCTTGTAGTAGTGTTGTGGTAATTGTATTTGCATGTTTAAAAAAATATGGTTTTGCAGGAATAATGGAATTAAAAGGCAGGCTTGCCTAGTACATTGTTTTTTTTCCTACTGTAAAGTCTCCATGTGAACTTTGAACATTAGCACTCTTCATTGCCATAAAGATAGTGTTGATTTTAAGGTGTTACCAGTATTTTGATAATGTATCTTCCAGGTAACTGCCTGCAAGAGGGTGGGATTAGATTAGCTATTAAAAAATTCTTAACAGTGAGGAAACTGAGGGCTTGGCACAGGTGCCCAGAGCAGCTGTGGCTGCCCCATTCCTGGGAGTGTTCAAGGCCAGGCTGCATGGGGCTTAAACAACCTGGAAGGTGTCCCTGCCCACAGCAGGGATGTTGAAAATAAATTATCTCTAAGATCCCTTTTATGATTCTGTGTTATATTTATGCTCACGTCATGTTAAAAGTAATTTTTTTACAGTTGTTATTTGATACTTCTGAATGATAGCCCAGCTGTAATTTCCAAATCCATTTTTCCTCACTGATAGGGATAAAAAGCATTGAAGAAATGTGGGCTGTAAGAGGCAGGTAGGTGCACTGCAATGTACAGCCATTTCTGCAGCAAGTGCAGCTAACATAGCAAACAAATAAAGCAAAAATAATTTACTTGTTTTTTAACCTTCTTTCAAGTATTTCAGCATGTATCTCACTTATGTGCAAGATGTACTGATCTGGTTGACACTTAATAAATCCCTAAATGAATTTCCCAGCTTTCTTTGTTAAATGGAGATAATGTCCTGTGTGATACTTCACATAAAATACTAGGAGTAAAGTATGACTAAAACTGCAAAGATGAGTTCTGTCTTTCTACATCAATAATATCCACCCTCATTTGCACAGTTACTGTGCTGCCTGGGAATGAAAAGATTGTTGTGCATGTCCATAAAGCTCAATTTTTTTAGTGGTTTTCTTTTTTTTTTTTTTTTTTTTTTTTTTAATCTATTTGATAAACCTCATTTTGTAGTTGATATTAAGAGTTTAACCTTTGTCACTTTGGGAGAGGGAGTTCATTCAGCTTCTACCTGTGTTCTGCCATGGATTTGTTTGTTTGTTTTGTTTTGTATTACTATTTAAAACCCAGTGTAGTTTAAAAAGCAAAGCCCAAATAAATTATGGATTCCCAACAGTGAAATACAAGTTCCTTTTCTGGTATCTTCTCCTTTCAGAAGAAACTTAAAAACCTGAGGGCCACGGGTGCAAATTGCTGACCTTTGAAATTCAAATATGTTCAAGGCTCCGTAGATTAATTATGATGATCATTATCAGCATGTTATAATTGTTCCCAGCTTAAATCTGGCACTACAGACCTGGGCCACAGGAGGCAGGGCTGTGCCCAGGGCCTTTGGAGCAGAGGGGCCAAGAGCAGGTGTAGAGAGGATGGCCAAGGGACAAAGTGCTTTGACAAGAATTAAAATCCATATTCAGGATAATAAACTTGCCATTGGTTTTGTTCCTCTGGAGAAGGTGATAAGGAGGGCTTGGAAAGAGGAGCAGTACACTGAATAATTCTGTACAAAGGAGAATTGCAGTATTTTTAGCACTTCAACATTTAAATACAATACTGCTCAGCCATGTTCCTGAGTTTAAAGTGTTCATTGTCATTGTGTTCATTCTAGAATTCTAACAAAAAAGGTGGGAGAAATTTAGAAAAGGAAGTTAAAAACTGAAGATTGGTGAAATATTTTAGAGGAAAGAGGTGACGTGGAAGAAGTAGTGAAGGGCAGCAGCATCCTCAGAACTGAGGGACAGCTCACTAATTTTGGGTGGCCCAAATGAGTTATCCAAGTGACCTGGGAGTTGTGGAGGCAAGAGATGTTACCTGGGAACAGAACAGTGTTAGCAGTAGAAGACACCATGTTTCTGAAAAAGTTGTGTGGTGAAAGGAACAAAAATGTCTAGGGAGGTACAGGGAGATGTAGTAGGGACTGAAGTGACAAAAAATGTTCTGTTCTTGTGGCACAACCAAAGGAGTGGGAAGCATTTGGAGAGGGAAAAGAGAATGTAATTGTGTCTGCAAGTTCATTTTGAGGGAGTGGAATGTATTTATCTGACATGGTTATCTGCTTAGTCTTCCTTTTTTGTCATAATGTACATATTGCCAGCCAGCCTCTGTGAAAATGTGAAGAATACTTTGGCCCAAGTCTACTAGTGCAGTCTGAATGATGCCTGAATAAACCTCAGCCTGAAATAGGAAAACATTATGTTCTCCTTGGTTCTTATGTGTTATTTAATTAATGCAAAAATGCAAAATATTCTGGTAACTCAATTTTTTTTTATCTGAAAAAATAGTTCCACAACTTAAGGAGAAAATAAAAATTTATTAATCTGAAGAGCAGCTTTTATTTGTAATCCTTTGGAAAGTTTTGTATGTATTATTTGAGATGTGAATAGATTTTGCATCAGTTTATGGTTTTTATTAGGATATGTGACACAAACCCTCCCAGTGCAGCCACTTTGGCATAGCTTTTCATTTGCCTTCTTTATTGCTTGTAAGTGTTAATGTTTTCCAGGAAAAACAGCTTGCTAACTATTAGCTGGATCTAGGAGGTGTTTCATCCTTCTGATGAGTTGCCTATAAAAACTTCAGTTTATTATTCTCTTTATAAAATGTGTCAATGTGGTTTTATTATCAGTGTCAGAAGAGAAGATATAATGCAAAAATTCCATCTGAAGGAGACAGTGGTTTTTAAACCCTCAGGTGTGATGGAACCTGTTGTCCCTCTGCCAGGGACTGAGTGATGCTGAGCCTTTCCAGTGATGTCTGACTTTGTCTGGCACTGCCAGCGCTCTGGGCAGTTCAGACTCTGCCTTTTAATTGTTTCTTGGAATAGCAACAGCCCAGAGTTGTTTCTCTCTAATGTTTTGAGCAGCTTTTCCATCCCTGCACATGTCAGAATGGAAACAAAGGGCGCTGTAGCTGATGTCGCCGTTCCCGAGAGAGGGGATTTGGGAAGAGGCAGGCAGGGTGTCTGAGTGACTTATGGGCTCAGCTGTCACCTGTGCCTGCCCCAGGCTCACTCAGGAACAATGGCAGCCTGGCCAGGATTTTCCAGGTGGGATAGCAGTTTGTTTTAATCAGGGAACATTTCATTCTGTTTGTGATCCTGTTACTGTACACAGCAGTTAGAAAAACTGTACAACTGTCCACTCCTTTGTGTAATGTTTTCCAGTGCTACCACCTGGGGTCTTTTATAGCAACATTTTACATGGTAAATGTCTTTTATCCCACACACACATGCACCTTTTTTATACTATTTATTTATTCTTTTCCTTTGAAGCTCTCTGAAAAATGCACCTTTAGTTGTTAACCAAATCCTGTCTTGTCAGAGCCTAGTAAATAAAACCTTTTCCACATGAGAAGAGTCCCTGCAAATTTCCCTCACTAGCTATCTTGTGTAAATATCCCTCTGAATGCCTCTGAAGGTAAATTCAGGGCAGCTTTTTCTCCCTCCAGTAAAGCTGATCAGTCTCGATGATGGGGGCTCTGGGCTGGGCAGCCTCTGAGACTGAGGTTGAATTATTCAGGGGGTTTTTGGTAGCTTTTTTTTGTCAGAGAACAGAGGTGGGATCCGCCCAGGGTCAGACCAAGGCAACCAAGTGAGGCCTCTCTCCTGAGTTGTTTGCAAAAGAACATTTCTGAGAAATGTATAAGAAAAATGACCTCTTCAGTTTGGGTGTGGGGAGCAGAAGGCTGTCAGGAGAACCTTTGGTGCCTACAAGTCTTTGAGATGTAAACTTGAGCTGGGTGGGAAAGCACAAGGAGCTTTTCCTCCCTGGCTTCCTCTGCCCTGTGAACCTCCCTTTTGTTTGAGGGAAGATCACGAAGGCATTGCTGAATCCCAGCAGGTT